AAAGAAAAAGTGTTAAAAACCATCTAAAAGTCAATTCTAAAAGGCTTACCTTAGTTTCAAAAAGAGAATTTCCTAAAAAAAACAAAGAAAATAAAGAAAAAAGAATTAAAAACTATCTAAAACTTACTTCTGATTTGCTTATCTTAATTCCCAAAATAAGAATTTCCTAAAAAACAAAAACAAAGAAAGGAAAATGTCATAAAAGTCACTTCTGATTCATTTACCTTAATTCCAAAATAAGAATTTCCTTAAAAAACAAGAAAAAAGAAAGGAAAAGATTAAATTTTCGCCTAAAAATCACCTCACTAGAAAAATAAAAGGAAGAAATAAATTTTTTCAGAATATTCTGAAAGTTTATCAATTTTATATTATAAACTAAACTAAAATTTCAATTAATCTGAAATTTAGATATTATTTATACTATTTATCATAAATGCTACAAATGGATGATTTTGCATTATCTGATTGTAAAATCAATGATATTTTGATCATTCCTTAAGAATAATATAGAAAATTGTTCTAAAGAAATGATAGTTTGATTGTTCTAAAAAAACGATAAAAAATTGTTCTAAAGGAATGATAGTTTGATTGTTCTGAAAAGAATGATAAAAAAAATCATTCTTTTAGAATGTTGATGTATTGTTCCGAAAGAATAATAAAAAATCTTATTCTAAAAGAATAATGATGAATCATTCCAATAAAATGATAACAAAAATTATTCTTTTAGAACGATAATGTATCGTTTCTTAAAAATGATAAAAAACATCATTCTAAAGGAATGATGATGTATTGTTCTGAAAGAACAATAAAAAACATTGTTTTAAAGGAATAATGATGAATCATTCCAATAGAATGATAACAAAAATCATTCTTTTGGAACGATGATGTATCGTTTCAAAAAAATGATAAAAAATATTGTTCCTTTTAGAATGATGATAAATCGTTCTGAAAAAATGATGATATATCACTTTGAAAGAATAATAAAAAAATCATTCTTTCAGAATGATAATTTAATCGTTCTGAAAGAATGATAAAAAAAATATTATTCTTTCAGAACAATGATGCATCGTTCCTTAAAAATAATAAAAAATCGTTCTTTTAGAACAATAATTGAATTGTTCCTTTGGGGATGATTCTACGCTTCTTTTAGAATAATTTTATTATCTCTTTAGGAATGATTGTATCATTTCTTTAGGGAAGATTTCTATCATCTCTTTAGAAATGAATGTTTATTCCTTTTGAGATAATTTCTATTGTTTCTTTAAGAATGATATTTCATTCCTTTAGGAACAATTTCTATTATTTCTTTGAAAATGAATGTTCGCTTCTTTAAAGACAATTTTTATCATCTCTTTGGAAACGAATATTTGTTTTTTTAGGAACGATTTTTATCGTCTCTTTAGGAATGAATATGCATTTCTTTAGGACAATTTCTAACATCTTTTTGGAAATGATATTTTATTCCTTTAAGGATGATTTCTATTATTTCTTTGGGAACAATTTCTATTATCTCTTTAAGAACGAATGTTCGTTTCTTTTAAGATGATTTCTATCATCTCTTTTGAGGAAAATGTATTATTCCTTTAGGACGATTGTATCATCTCTTTAGGACAATTACTCTTGAAATATTTTTATAATTTTCACAAAAATTGGCTCAACAGATTTTGACCAGTGAGATATAGTTGATTTTTATTAAATTTTGAGTTTAACTGAAATTTTGCTGAATATTATAGCCGAAAGGTCTTAATGTTGAAATAATGCTAAATTATGTGTGATGTAACAAATTACTATTGATTTTTATAACTTAAGCTAAATTTTTTCTGAATCACATGACTGAATCAGCTGAATGTTTGACGAAAGATCTAATGCTGAAATAATGTTAAATTATGTGTGATGTAACAAATGACTATTGATTTTTGTAACTTAAGCTGAATTTTTGCCAAATCACATGACCGAATCAGCTGAATGTTTACCGAAAGGTATTAGTGCTAAAAAAATGATTTTGACTAGTGTAATGAATAATGATTTTATTATTCCTTTGGGATGATTTTTTTAATCGTTCAATAAAAATGATGGTCTATCGTCCTAAAAGGATGATTTTTTAATCGTTCTTAATAAATAATAATTCATCATTTCTTTAAGACAATTTTTTTAATCGTTCTTAATGAACAATGATTTATCATCCCTTTGGGATGATTTTTTTAATTGTTCTTAATAAGCAATGATTCATTGTCCCTTTGGGATGATTTTTTGATCATTTTAATGAATAATGATTTATTGTCCCTTTGGGACGATTTTTTTGATCATTCTTAATGAACAATGATTCATCGTCATTTTAGGACATTTTTTTTTGGTCATTCTTATTGAAAGATAATTTATCATTCTAAAGGGACAATTGTTTTGATCATTCATATTAAATGATAATTATCATCCTAAAGGAGTAATTTTTTAAACTGTTCAATAAGAACAATGATTCATCATCTCTTTGGAATGATGTTTTTGATCATTTTTAATGAATAATTGATTTATCATCCCAAAGGAACAATTTTTTAAATCATTCTTATTGAATAATGATTTATTGTCCTAAAGGATGATTTTTCAAATTGTTTAATAAGAATAATGATATATCATTCCAAAAGAACAATTTTTAAAACGATAGTCTGTCATCCCTTTAAGACGATTTTTAATCATTTTTATCAGATTTGCATCATCCAATTGGAATGATATTGAATCGTTCTTTTTAGATAATAATTGTATCGTTCCATTTGGAACAATTGTTTACTATCATATTTTGGGATAATTTTTTCAATTGTACAATTTTTGCATTGTACTATTGGATTAATCAGAGTTGATTTTTTAGCTCAACTTCAATCTACCATAAATTAGTCATAAATACGATGGCTGATTTTTAACTGATTTCTGAATTTAGTCCGAATTACCAATGAATAACAAATGGTGATTTTTTTGATTTCGACCAGTGACTATAATAAAAGAAGTATTTATAACTACTTATATATGCAGAATTAGTATTATTTTAATAATATTTGAGATTTGTTTTGTTAAATTACTTGAAGATTATCTAAGTAGTAAATATTATTTGGAAGGACTATATAAATCGAAAGAATATTAGACATATTTGTATACTGCATTTAAATTTACTAAAGAAATAATCGAAATATCAAAAGTCAAAGCTGTAAATGTATATATCAAAAGACTATTATATAATTTAATGTTTCTCATTATGAACTTATAAATGAGATACAGTAGTAGTCAAAAGTAATGTATCGGCAAAATGAAAAATGTAAAATAGTGATCATTTGTAATACAGTAATCATAGTGGTATAAATTCTATTTTAATAAATTTATTATACCTTATTTTATCAATCTCATCTATGTTTTTTATTTAACTTATAAAATCTACTTGCTATATGTAAAAATTTCTAATACACACAATCCTTTTCTTTTGATCATTTTATGAAATAAACTTCATCAAAATAAATAATATTGTTTGTTACTTCAAAACAATCATGAAAATATATAAAAAGATATCTTGTAATATAAATATATCCTTTCCTTTTTTAATTTTATAAATGTACCATAATTTATTTACCTATTGAAAAAAATTCTAGAATTTATACTTTACTTGAAGAAGGATATCCTTCCTGATATGTAGCAGATAAAGAAAAAGTTTCTTAGTCAACTGTTATAAGAATCAAGCAGTGTAAAGATACCACTGATACCTTCAAGAATAAACCTAAATCTGGATATCTAAGACTTTTAACAGGATGAAATGAGCAAAAAGTTTTGCAGTGTATTATAACAAAAAAGTGTACTAATGCAGTTGCTATTCAAAAAAACTTAAAAATTGAAAAGCAAATGAAAGTTAGTGAAAGTACAGTGAAAAAAACCTTATATTGAAATGGATTAAATGTAAGAGTTAAACGTAAAAAGTCATATCTTAAAAAAATATATAGAATCCTTGTATAACATTGGCAAAAAAATATTGATCATAGACACCAGAAGATTGGAGCAAAGTTATTTGATCAGATGAGTCAAAGTTTATGATATATGAATCAGATGGCAGGGAAAAAGCCAGGAGAGACCATGTCAAACCACTAGTAAAATTTGGATGTGGTAGTATTATGGTATGAGAATATTTTATATCTGGTGATGTTGGTAATATATGCTGAATTTATGGTCACATGAATGGTGATTTATATCATCAGATTTTGAAGGAAGACTTATTAGAAACCATCAAGTAGCATGGGATGGATAAAATAATATTACCTTCTAACAAGATAATGATCCAAAATATACTGCACAAATGTTTTGAAGATAATGCAATTAATTAGGATGCTTGATTGGCCAGCACAATCACCTGACCTCAATCCAATTGAACATCTCTGGAATGAAATGGATCAAGTATGGGATGCAATTCAAAAAATCTGGGTTGAGTTAGGGAATGATGTGTGTAAAAAGTTGGTTGATACCATGCCAGCTCGTATAAATGATGTTATTAGGGCGAATGGAGGTTATACAAGGTGGTAAACTGCAGTTTATCAAAATTTTTGTGTATTTGAGGGTTTTTTTGGAGATTTTATTATATAAATAAAAAAAATTTAAATGCCGGTCAAAAGAAAAGTATCGCATGTTGATCAACATTAATAGATTACTTGATCAACAAGATAAAGAAAATCTTATATTCAAAAATATAGAAACGTCTAATTTTCTATTCATAGAAGTAGCTAAAAAATTTTAACACCATCAATAGAAAGATTTTAACTTTTGGAGAAAAGAAAAGCTATTTGTTCAAAGACTTTTGCGAAAGTCACGGGATTTTCGTTTACATGTAAGATATAAAAAATTTTATGCACTTTAGATTCTAACCACATATATTACGTAATAAATGTCATTTGAAATGATCGGCAAATTTCAACCAAATTTTTTTTGCTTGTAAATTTCAGTTTCGTATTTTCCTACAAAGCATTACTTTATCAAATATGGGAGTTCCAGCTCTTTTTAGGTATGAAAATTTTTTATATTATAGATCAAGACAAATTATTTTATAACGATCTCTTTATAATTTCAGGTGGTTATCCAAAAAATATCCTAAAATCATTGAACAGGTCATTGAAGAACGACCAATTGAAGTTAATGGAATAGAAATACCGGTTGATATTTCTAAACCAAATCCAAATAAGATGGAGTTTGATAATTTATATTTAGATATGAATGGTATCATTCATCCTTGCTGTCATCCGGATAATAAGGTAAAGTTAACAAAATGTTTCAAAATTTTTTCATCATTAACTAGTTAATTCAATTATATGTTGCTATTTTAAGCCTGCTCCAGATACAGAAGAAGATATGATGATTGATATATTTAAATATACTGAGCGGATAGTTGCTATGATTCGCCCTAGAAGGGTTTTATATCTCGCTATTGGTAAATCATGAACATTTTCTTTATATAATCTAATAGTCTAATAAACTCTAAACCAATGATGCCTTTTCTTTTAGATGGAGTGGCACCTCGTGCTAAAATGAATCAACAAAGATCTCGTAGATTTAGAACTGCACAAGAAGATAAGGAAAAGGCAGAAGAAGTAACTCAAGAGTTAGAAAGGCTTGAAGGTATGTAATTCGTTACCTTAATAATGATAAAATAGTCTTCGATCATGCTCATTATCTTTTATTAGCGTCAGGACAATCGATAGATACGACGATCAAACAAAAAAAGTCATTTGATAGTAACTGTATAACACCAGGTATATATATATATCATTAAATTGAATAAACAATGTTATGTCGGATCATTAATTGCAATTTGATCTTATATTAATAATAGGTACGCCCTTTATGGCACGTCTTGCAGAATGTTTGCGATATTGGATCGCAGATAAACTTAATACAGAGCTAGGATGGAAAAATGCATGTTGCTTTTTTTTAAAAAAAAAAATTTTTTGATTATCAATTTTTGTTGATTTACTTTTCGATTACACTTTTACAGTTAAAAGTTATATTGTCTGATGCGAGTGTACCTGGTGAAGGTGAACACAAAATTATGGATTTTATTCGTGCACAACGTGCTAGTCCATATCATGATCCTAATACTTGTCACGTGATATATGGCTTGGTCGGTTCTTATTTTTTTTTTTTAAAAAAAGAGATTCCGTTATTACTTAAAATATGCATAGTAAATGTTTTTGTAACGATTCTTTATTTATAGGATGCCGATCTTATTATGCTTTCATTGGCTACACACGAACCTCATTTTAAAGTACTACGAGAAGACGTCTTCTTTCAAGAAGGAATTTATAGAGGATGTTTTATATGTGGACAATCGGATCATATTGCTAATCAATGCACAGGTTATTAAAAATTATCTTTTTTTTAATTGAAAATCCACTGGTTAACTGGTTAACATATAATTAAAAAAATTTTTTTTAATAGGTCAAGCTAAACAAAAACAGGGACAATATGATGAGAAGGGAAAATCTATTATCATTAAACCATACATCTTTCTAAATGTTCAAGTTCTTCGAGAATATTTGGAAATTGAACTTAAAGTATCCAGTATACCTTGGCCATTTAATTTGGAGAATGCGATCGATGACTGGGTTTTTCTTTGTTTTTTCGTCGGTAATGATTTTCTTCCACATTTGCCGTCTTTGGAGATCAGAGAAGGTGCGATAGATACCTTGATAACCATATGGAAGCGTTGTTTGCCATTAATGGGTGGCTATTTAACCAATAGTGGAGTTGTAGGTTTTTTTTTATTTAACTAATTATTATTATTATTGAAAATTCGGAGATTTAAACGTTAGTCACAATTCGATATCTAGGTGGATTTAAAAAGGTTGCAATATTTGGTTACAGAACTTGGTAAACAAGAAGATGATATTTTTCTTCGTCGATATCGAAGTAAGTATTTAATCATTTAACTCTATATATCTATTTTTCATTTTGCAACAAACAAGATTTAGTCTATCGTTAATTTATGATTTACGTTTACAATTGTTGAATTAGATGAACAAAGACGAACTCCACAACCTCCCCCTGCCCCAAAACGTCGAAAGGTCAAGGCAAATAAAGTTATAGACGTTTATCAGTCATTTGAATCACCCCAAAATGAAATTGATAAATCGCAAAATATATCCTTTGATTTCATAATAAATAATGTAGCAGTATTATATAATTTTACTTCCTTAACTAATAAATACAATACACATATCTTGCCTCATTTGCCAATTGGGATGCCGCTACTCCCAGTAAAAGGATTTGACTCACACCTTCGTGCGAAGACAAATCAAGAGGTCGTTGCTAATAGACAAGAATTACGTATAGCTAATATAAATGCCGCTCAATTATTGAAAGCAGAGTTAAGTAGCTCCGACACCGCTACTTCAACAACAAATATTAATATAAAAATTGATAACTCAAATTCATCACTTCAAATGGATTGTGGTAGTTCTGAAGTTTCAATTAAACAAGATACCGTTGCTCGTAGCGACGAGACTTTATTGACATCACTTACGTTACCATCAAAAAGAAAAAAAGATGAGATTGATGATGAAATTCCAACGACGATTGAAGGAGATGTTAAAGATGATGACGACAATTTATCAAGCACGTCAAAAGATAAAGATGAAGGTCATGGTGATTCAATTAGGTAATCAACAACTATAGATTAAATAAATTTTCATTTTAATATTGATAACTTCAACACTTTTCAAATACAATTATTGATAGACTATGGGAAGCAGGATTTAAAGAAAGATATTATAAGCAAAAGTTTGGTGTCGAGTTACCGAATAAAGAATTTCAAAACAAGTATGTCATCCCCCAAAATAAAAATATATTACGATTTTATTAATTTATTTATTTATTCCGCAGTCTTGTAAAGAGTTATATCGAAGGTCTCTGTTGGGTTTTAAAGTATTATTATCAGGTATTTTATTTTTTTATAATTATTATATTGTCGGAGGCATATGTTTATACTTAACTATAACATAAAAAATTTATAGGGTGTTCCATCGTGGAAATGGTATTATCCTTACCATTATTCACCATTTGCATCAGATTTTGTCGATATTGGCGACATTCAAGTCAACTTCGAATTAGGTGAACCTTTCAAACCATTTGAACAGCTAATGAGTGTACTGCCTGCGCATAGGTAACCAATTGCATTTCTGTTTAATTTTTGTATTAAATCTTTATTAATAATTAGATAAATTATAGCAAAGAGCATTTGCCAGTACCTTTTCAAAAACTTATGACTGAAGAAGAAAGTGAAATTATTTGCTTTTACCCTAAAGAATTTAAAATTGATTTAAACGGCAAAAAATTTGCATGGCAAGGTAATATATTTAGATTTTTATTAAATTCTTATGCATTCATTTATCCTGTATAATTCAATAATGACTTTTAACCTTTCATAGGAGTTGCTCTACTTCCATTCATTGATGAATCGCGTTTACTTAAAGCCATAGAGTCGGTATATCCTCAATTAAATACCGATGAGATTACAAGAAATACTCTTGGATCTGAAATCCTTTGTTTTAGCAACAAACATCAATTATATAGTAACCTATTTCCTCTATACTCAAGTCAGGACTCAGTCAAGGTGAATTTTATTAGTCAAATTTTTAAATTACGAAACTTCGATTATTTAACTAATTTTATTTTAACTAAAATATTAAAAAATTATATTAAATTTTGATGTATAATAATAGCCTATACCATTGGATCCAACTATGAGTGACAAACTGATTGGATTTGTATCAAAAGATCCAAAATTTATACCTGAAAGTACATTTCATTCACCTTTAATCGAAAAAAATATGCCAGATATTACCGTTGACAAATCATTGAGGTAAGTTCACCAATATTGATTATTAACAACACGTTTTTATTTAAAATCATAATATAATTCTTTGCAAATTTTAGTGTATTCTATCACCTTCCAGCTAAAACAACTACCAATGCACATAAATCCATACTTTTACGAAATGTCAGGATGGATTCTCCAGTATTAGGATGGGAAGATCATGAATGGATAAGAAACGGTGGTAGAGGAAGAGGCAGAGGTAGAGGAAGAGGTTTTTCAAGAGATGACCGTGCTTATCACAACAGTCATGATACGCATAGCTACCAAAATAAACCTCCTGATACTGATTATCAAAGTAGAGCCAACATAAATATGTATGATGATAATAGAGAAACACGTCGAAACCATTATACTCCTACAAGTAATTCTGGGTATCATTATAACAACCATGACGTATCACGTTATCAGTATCAATCTAATAATTATGAGAATAGAGGCTCTTCGCAATATGGAAATCGATATAATAATAGTCAAAGATATAATCGAGTAAATCCTTCTCGCGGCTCAAGTGCAAATTCACAATCGCCTTATGGTCAAAATACCAGATTTGACAAATATCATAATGATTCTAGACGTGACCATTGAAATAATCTTTACTTACCAGCTTATTTAGAGACAACATTTTGTTCTGATAAGTTTTTTTTTACATATTAAACATTTTAAATTAAAAAAAAATATATAATTTTATATTAAAATGTGACTTGGTCAAATATTTTATTGAATAAATATTATTTGACTGTTAACTAATTTTATTAAGAAAAAGGGTTCTTAGTAATAAAAGTAATATCTAAAGTAACAGAGTTTTATTTTTTTTTTTTTAAAAAAAAAAAATAAGTCTGTTTCAGACTCGAGGAGTTCGTTCTATATAACATAGTACATATTAATGAAATATGTTATTATAAATGTTACAAAATGATTGAAATAAAATTATTTTATCGGGTATTCACTATTTGAGGATTTATGTCGTTACTCACTACGCGTCTCATAACTGCGGGTAAAAATGGCTCAGCAAAATTTTAAAGTTACTCGCTAACCCATGATCCATATAATAGTTACTTGCCGCAAAATGCCCTTTCGTTCGAAATGATAATCTTATAAATTATCTGATTTCTCAAAAAGTAATAAATTTAATTTAGGGAATATTCGCTGATCGTTATAACCATCAATGCATTTTTTTCTGTAACATTTTCTCAAGAATTTATTAATTTTATTTTCTAACGTTCAATATATGTGCGAAACTTTATTAATTTTTTCAGATATATGAGGGGAGCATGTAGATCTTAGGCGAGTTCCCGATTCATATTATTTCTTTGTTCTCTTACATTTCCGCCTGCGGCATAAATTTCGGAGGTTAGCAAAAAGGGGAATAAATATTTAATGACTAGAGTTGGAAAAGTCCTAAAAAGTCCTAATTAGGGTTCCTCAAAATCGAATCGAATCAAATATTGAAGCAATTTGAATTTGATTTGATTTTTTCAAATCGAAACGACTCAAATATTTGATCAAATCAAATTGATTTGATTTGAATTTGATCGAATCAAATCAAATTGAATCAAATATTTGTCGAATCGAATCGAATCAAATATTAAATCAAACATGGGGTAAGTGCTGGGAAAATGGACCAAATTGATTTTTTTTTTAAAAAAAAAGTTTCTAAGTAAAATAGATGTAGATTTGGTCATCTGATTTAGATCATTTGTTATTTCAAAAAAAAATTTTTTTGTCGATTTGGTCCCTTTTCCCAGCACTCACCACATATGCAGTATGTTCACATTGCAATACATTATATAAAATTTCAGAAATTTTGCAAAAAAATGTGAACGATCAGTCAAATAATGGGTTTAAATAAAACGATGTGAAATTTCCAAATCATCTGAAAAAAGGTCAGAGGAGTCCTTGTGAAACACAAATAACAAAACAAATATTGATAGTTCAAGGTTACATTAGAAAACCAAAAATAATTTTTCTCTTGTTATCTTTGAAAACTCAATTGATTACAATATATCAGCGATCAGGATTTGAATCACTTTTGAAAAAATGGACCAATAGGGATGATACTGAACTGATAACTAATATTTATGATGGAGAAATTTAGAAAACTTTCCTATCACGAATTGACATACCTGATTTTTTGTGATTTTTTACATTGGAAACTGCTGATTCCCATTTAGAAATTATGATAAATCTCGATTGGTTCCAACCATTCGAGTCATCAGCATATAGTTGTAACGTCATATATAGTGCTATATGTAACCTTCCACGCAAAGTTCGATTTAAAAATGAAAATATATTGATACTTGGACTACTACCAGGTCCTAAAAAGGTAAAGTTACATTGAATAAACCATTACCTTTTCCCGATAGTGGATGAATTATTAGAATTGTGAAATAGATATATTATACCAATCTCAACAAAATTTCTGAATGGAAAAAGAATTAGGTTAGCTATCATTTGCTGCTCAAATGAATTTCCAGTTGCTAGAAAATTGTGCAGTCATATATCAGCATTAACTGGCTGCTATCGATACTACAAACATGCAAATACAAAAGATAGAAAACCAAATTTTGGTGGTTCGAAAACATAGATGATTATTTTCAAAAATGAGACCTTGAAAACATATTAGAAATTCTGAAGGATAGCAGCAATGCAAAATAAAAGATGAAAGAAAGCAGCATGTTTCTGATACATACGTACGTTGATCAGAAATATTAAGACTGCTTAATTTTAACCCAATTCAATATTTTGTCATCGATCTGATGAATTGCCTTTTTCTTGGTATTGCCCATTGGATAGTAAAAAGGTTATGGTCTAACAAAATCAATCTTGCATTATTGGAAGAACGGGCAAAAATCATCAACCTACCCACCGATTTGGGTCGGATCCCAAATAAAATTTCAACTGAAAAATAGTTTTCTGGCTTTACGCTAATCAATGGAAGACTTTTATTTTAGTATATGCGACTCTATTATTATAGGATCTTTTGGATTTATCGGATAAAGAAATTTTAGTTAATTTTGTTAGAGCTTGCTTATTACTTATATGTCGAATAATTGACAATAATGAATTGACTAAAGCTCATACCCGATTGTTATAAGTAGCACTTTTAGTTGAAGAAAACTATAGACCAGAGTTTATAACACCAAATATACACCTTTCGCTTCATATTACTGAATACTGTCGTGATAATAGTTCTTTGTATTCATTCTGGTGTTATTCGTTTGAAAGAACGATTGTTATTAAATTATTAAATAATTAAATATATGATTAATAATTATTAAATTTTTCTTTATAAGATCCCTTCCAAACAGTAAGCAATAAATTGAATTAGAAATTCTATGAATTACTATGCAAAACTAAAGAATAGATGAATTAATTTTAAATCAATTGGATTGTTAGTACAAGCGCTTGAATTGGTAAAGTCTCGTCTCACAGCTGGAAGTTTAGCATCTTATAATGAATTGGATTTTACAGAATTATACTGATTCATACAAATTTTTCGTCATTTTAATAAAACCATTATCAGTAATAAGCCATTTCCAGAACAAATGCTTTCTCCAAAAAAAGAACGCGTGTCTTTACCAGATAATATTTATGAATTATTAGTTTAATATTATAATAATGCATGTGATAGGAAGTTTGTAATGATAGCAGGTGCAGTTTCTGAAATATCAACAGAAGATCTCACTATCATTTTGCCATATGTTAATCAATATGGCTGTATTAGGATTGGATCCAAAATCTTTGGAGCAACAATTGCATTCTGATATATGAGAAATTTACATACATTGGCGAAATTTATACAAATTGATGAGATAACAAACATATTTCCTAGTGAAGTACAATACTATTTTGAACATTCACTTGACCTTTTAATAGGTACTGTAACACATCATTTAGCATTTGTAAAATGGCATTGTTAGTGATAGTCTAGTTATGACGTATTAGTACTGCGCCAATTACAATTAGCGAATGATGATCCCGTCGATCATGGATCTCAACTTTCTCTAATTTCTATAA